CACACACACGTAACCTCTGTCTCTCATTAAATCTCATTAATGGGTTTGATTAATGGCTCTGTATCTGTAGTCTAGCATGTCCTGCCTGATGACTGCCAGGGACACACACACACACACACACACAGTGGATGCCAAGGGGACTGGACTCTACAGGACAGAAAGACATCCGCCAGGCAGCTGGCTAGTTCCTGGGGCTTCACACACAAACACACACACTTTACCTGTCCAGCTCACTTGCACATTCATTTTTTAGGCTTTTACCCAACCCTCCTTGTCTTTGCTGTCACACTGGTGTAAATATAACTGAACTGCTCTGGCAATCTGGGACACACACACACACAAAGAGACACAGGTCTAACGTGTGAACATGGCCCTGTTGTTAAACGGTGTGATACATGTTCTTACTTGACTATAATTAATGCATTTGCGGTTTAAATCTGCATTTATGCATTTTGCATATCTAATGCATCTTACACTGTATTCAATGTATACATATTATCAGTTAATGCATTCTCTAAGAATCAAACCCATGACCTTGGCCATGCTTTACTGTTTAGCTACAAGATATGCAGGATATTCATGGCACACACACCACAAACATGCAATACATGCAACAAACACACAATAAACCATAAAGCACTTAAGTTAACCATGTAGTGAAATCACTTATAGACATGTGCATGCAACAGACTTGCAAATCAGCTATGCAAATACACACACTAAAAATACGCATGGCTGATTTGCGTGTTTGTTACATGCATGTGTGTGTGTGATTTGCATGATTGATTTGCATGTATCAGTTTTGAATGCTTTTTGCATGCATGTGCTGCATGTTTATTTGCTGAGTGCATCTGTGTGTTGCATGTTTGTTGTGGATGTGAGTGCAGGTTTGTTGCATGTGTGATTTTAATGGTGGTTTTGTATGTTTATGTTTTGTTGATTGCATGCGTGTTTGAATGATTGTGTGTTTTGGTTTTTGGATGTTTTGTTGCATGCATGTGCTGTTTGGTATTGCATTGCATGTTTGTTGCATGTTCAGTGTGTGTATTTGCATTGTTGATTTGCATATTTGTTGCATTCACATGAGTGTGGTTTGCATGATTGATTTTTGTGTATTTGCTGGGTGCATGAGTGTATGTTCCGTGTTTGGTATTTGCATGGCTGATTTGCAGATTTGTTGCATGTGTGTTTGTATATGTGATTTTTGAATTGTATGTTTATGTTTTTTGTTTCATGTGTGTGACTTGCATGATTGACTTGTGGTTCGGTTTTGGTTGATTGTTGCATGATGTGCTGCATGTTTGTTAAACGAACAATGTGTTTTGTATTTGCATGGCTTTATTTGGCTGTATTTGTTGCATGCATGCGGGTATGATTTGCATCACTGATTTGTTTCATTTTCAATGTTTGTTGCATGCATGCATTTCATGTTGTTGTGTATTTGCATGAATGGTTTGTATGTGTGTTGTATGCAATTGCTTCTATGTAATTTGAATGATTGAATCGTTTGTGTGCTTATGCATCGATGTGTATGTGTTGCAAGTTTTAGGTTTGTGTATTTGCAACACATGCATGCACAAAAAACACCTAAAACTGAAACACAAATCGGTCATACAAATCATACAAACATGTATGCAATACAGAAACAAATCAATCAAGTAAATTCACTTAGCCATAGAGTATGCATGCACTCAACAAACAGACAGACACGCACACTTACATCATCGTGCAGTGTTGAAATATGGTATTCACTGACACAAATGAAATGGAAAATACAGACAGAACACAATGATGTCACACTGATGAAGACAAAACTCCCTGTGTGTGTGTGTGCAGGCGTATCCGTGCCGTCATACTCACTAAAGTAATTAGTGCCCGCGTTTGCCCTGCGCCAACTAACGGGTACATCCACTGGCATTCTGCCATGGCATGACATTCGTTACGACAATTAGCACCAATCACGGGGGAGAGAAGTCCACCTCACGCACACACACCTTCTCTAGAAGCACAACACATGCTCTCCCTGGAGTCTGTCTCTCTCTCTCTCTCTCTCGTTTTGACAGCCAGGTGTAATGACGAAGAAATTATTCTGTTAAATGAGGGGTGTTTAGGGCCCAGTACACACAGAGACTGCTCTACTTTCTGTTCGCCATTATGGATTTAGCCAGCATGCTAAAAACGACCACGAGTGTGATTGTTTAAAATAGTGTGCTATGACACACATACTTACATGCATATGCAACATTTTAATACACCTACATTCACAAAAAATGCACACGATATGGGTGGAAATTGTGAATTACAATGAGTTGTGCTTGCTTCCCACTGGTTTAAAGTGGTCTAGTCCAATGTGCTCCTGCAGTCCAGCACTGTGCTGGTTATATGTAACTGTGTTACACCGTTTCGTCCCATGTTTGGCCATGCTTTGAGTAAGATAAACACTTTAGAAGCACACAAATCAACCATATACATCCAATAAACATGCAACATATAAACTGTGACTGCTACTTTGCAAAAGTCTAGGGTTGGTAAGTTTTTTTTTTTTTTTTACCAAAATACAGTAGAAAAAGTATTATTGTGAAATATTATTACAATTTAATATAACTGTTTTCTATTTTAATATATTGTAAAATATTTATTCCTGTGATGTAATGCTGGATTTTCCACATCATTGTTCCAGTCTTCAGTGTCACATGATCATTCAGAAATCATTCTAATATGCTGATTTGTTGATCAAGAAATATTTCTTATCATTATCAATATTGAAAACAGTTGTGCTGCTTAATATTTTTGTGGAAACTGTGATATATTATTTCAGGATTCTTTGTAAATATCTTACCTGTCACTTTTAAATCAATTGAATGCATCATTTCTGAATAAAAGTATTAATTTATTCAAACAAATAAACAAAAAAAAAACTTTTGTACAGTAGTGTGCATAATGCAACTTACATACAATAATAAATTTACGTAGAATGCAATGAAATCATAAGTAACCCCCATTTTTTTAGTTGTTGGGCTGTGTTTACGTAGCTTCATGTAGCAAGCAGCTTTTTCAAGAGATATATCTGTCTCAAACACAGAATGACAAATAATGATGTATATCAGTCTCTTTCGCTCATGCTACGTCTTGTTTCTTCCCACAACTAGCTTTCTCATTGTTTCTGACACTCTTCTTCTTTTATGTTTACATAGCTTTGTGTATAGCTACATTTTGTTAGTTCTTAGTATTATTTCAGAAAATACTGTGACTGCAGTTTATGCTACTTACAATTATGAGCAGCTTGTAGCTTAGCATGCTACGATCTCAAAGTAGCTTCCTCAAACCACACAAATGTTTGTTCTCCTGTATATGCGTGAACCGCTCGAAGGTTTGTCTGTATTTGAACATCGACTAAAGACATTCCATCCTTGTCTTTGTTGTTTTTAGACTGTGATGGCAGGATTAGCCGTGTTGATGGGCCGCACACATCACTCACACACACTTCACCAGTCGCTGTCATTCGGCTGTGTACCTTAAGTGTTTTCCTTCCCTCCTTTCATTCCGTCTGTCCTTTTTCATTGCTCTTTCTCAGTTGACATCTGCATTAGTATTACCTGACCACCGTGTTTTAGCGCTTCCTTTTGTATTATTGTATCACTCTATTATCCCTCTCTCTTTTTCTTCTCCTCTGTTTCATTCAAAGCTCGCACCTCCTCACAGTTCTTAAATCTGTATTCTTTTCTTTTTCCGTACATCTTTGTGTGAACCCCC